ACGCCGAAAAGACGCTGTCGCAGTTGCACAACGCGGGCGTTTTGCCCGATCTGCGCGTCCTGTGCACCTCGACCGCGGCCTTTGCGGGGCTGGAGGCGGTCGGGATGCCCGTCGCGTGGTGGGCCCAGTTCCCGTTCGAGCCGCTCCTCCAGCGCGCGGCAATCGACCGGGTGGGGATGCGGCGGCAGCTGGAGTCCTATTTGATCACCGTGGTCAACCACGCACAGGTTCCCATGTCGCTCACTCCTGCCATTTCGTACCTCCGCGAAGGATGCAATTTTATGCCGCTCCGAATACTAATCTTGACATTTAAGGCGATTATTCTCACTACGAAGTCGTCGGATCTCGAACACGTAATGCCATCCGAGGAGCACACCCAACCACACGATGTGGAACCAAGTGGTGAGGGACTTTCTTCGACACCCACGGCGTCTGTTTGCGCAAATTACACTGCTGCTCGCTATGAATCTTCCGTTAAAGGCATTTTCTATCAAAAGCGGATCTACGTATCCTCCCCATGCTCATCACACCAATCCAACTCATTTTCTCAATTGCGAACTCTTTGGAGCAGTTTAACGCGCTGCCTGCTGGAATGTCATGTCCTGACAGCCCCGATGGAGCCCTTTTTTCTCGCGCTTCATAGCGGGGCATCCATCGGTTGTGCGGATACGAGAGACTTTGAGCGGCTTCTTGCACACCTGATATTTTCTGACGGCCTCGGTGGCAACCTACCTCCGTTGGCAAACTTCGGCTTGGCGGAGTGGGCGGTGATTCTCAACGCCTGCGCGTCCTCAACGTGGAACCGAGCCGGATACATCCAGGCTCTTCGCGACCCTTTGCTTGATTTTGTGGTGCGGTCTACCAATGAGCCGTTTTTCATGCTCCGCGGTTTATCCGATCATGACCTTCTTCTCGAAACTCCGCCGAGGCCTGAAGTCGAGGCGCGCAATTTGCAAGACTTTTTTAAGAAAAATCAGCAGTTGTGCATCGAATTGTGCCATTTTCTGGAGTCTGTCAACATTCTGTATGCTGAGGGAGATGAGTTTTGGGACGCGCTTCGCGGCTTGATTGATGCGTGGATTGACGAACTGCAAGTCAGGAAAACAAACAGGGATTTCCCGGGATCATCGTCCGGGGTATTTTCTTTCAGTGATAGTGAAATTCAGTTTTGGATACAGGAATGGACAAAAAGCTTTAATTGGTCAGTCAAGATGGCTGGCTACCCTGGCCGGGTTATCGCCCCAGAGGACGATGAGGAGATAGATGGTGCTTGTATCGCTGAAATTGGAAAGAGTAATTAAATCTTGCGATTCTTCCTTAGCGCTTACATGCACAAATATTACATGGAAAGGTGTCAGAGTAGGATCGTAGATACATGTCTTCACACTTTTCGCCCTTAATTCCATTATACTTCATTAAACGGCAATCAATACGCCAAGTGTCTTGTTTTTTTATTCCTCTTTTTCAACTTTTTTTTTTGGGGGGGAATTCTACCTACACCTTTTTCTTTCTTCCATTTGACTTCCACATTGAGTCGTTCACGTGCGTTTTTACTTAACGCTTCGCATCACCAGAAGCTCCCATTTTCACGATTGGGTGAAGCACGGTGTGGTATTGCGTTTATTGGATATCCCTTTTTATTTATTTATTTTTCAGGTCAAAATTCAATTCCACGATTGTTCTTCCCGATCCAGCGCGTCGTGTGGGTGAAAGGTGGATGCGCTCCGCCACCATAGTTGTGGAGGTCTCTTGTACGGCCCCACGCTCCGACTGGCTTGAGCTCAGTTGTCTTTTGTGCGCTTTTCTTCGGCATTACGCGAATGGTGGGCGCGATGGGGCGCATGTGGGCCTTTCCTCGCTTTTCGCCCCCGGGCGATGCATCCCCCAGACGGCGTGGACGCTCGCGGAGGCCACGATTCCGGCGATTTCGTCCCTCCTTCAGCGCGTCGTATGCTCGATGCGCGTGTGCGATATGTACGGTTTTTACACCCCGAAAGGCGAACCCCCTGAAGGGAGAAACGCCCATTCCGCCTCGGAAAGAGGCTTCACCGCTGAGATGGAGGAAATTTCGTTTATTCCGATTATCTACACCCTCCACTGTGGGGACGTCGTGAATGATCCCGCTTGCGATCTACTGAGCGGGCGAGGCGGTGTGGACGACACGAACGAGGACATAAACTCCCCGCAGTGCTATATTTCCCTCCTCCCGCACGAATCCCTGGATGGGTTGTGGGAATCTTTGTACTACGGCGACAGCATCGAGGACTCCGCGCGGTTTAAAATCGATCTCGTTGAGTACGTTCGCACCGCCCTGACTTTTTCGCTCGCGGGGGTCGACCCGCACGCGATTGTGTGGAACCACCTCATCCTCCTGCACGGCCCGCCGGGAACGGGAAAGACATCGCTGTCCAAGGCGCTTTCGCAGAAGTTATCCATCCGCCTCGGGCACCTTTTTCCCCACGGGACGAGGCTCATTGAGGTGAACGCGCACAGCCTTTTTAGCCGGTGGTTTAGCGAGAGCGGAAAGCAGGTGATGCGGCTGTTTAGCCAAATTTTCCATCTCGCCTCGGATGATCGTGGGTTGGTGTGCGTGCTGATTGACGAGGTGGAAAGTTTAGCCGCCGCGCGGCAGTCGGCGATGAAGGGGAACGAACCGTCCGACTCGATTCGAGTGGTGAATACGCTGCTCACGCAGATCGATCGCCTTAGCCGCTTCCGCAATGTTCTTGTTCTCGCCACCAGCAATCTGACCGACGCCATTGATGATGCTTTTTTAGATCGCGCCGATAAAAAGATTTTCCTCGGTCCACCAGGCCTAAAGGCGGGTCACGCGATACTCTATAGCGGGGTGATGGAGCTCATGGACAAGCGACTTATTCAGATTGGCCCGGACTGCGAGCACCAGCTAAAGCGTTGGGGCGATGGCGGTTCGATCGCCACCATCGGGCTCACCCCACATTACGATGAGGAAACCCTTTTACCAGAAAGCGCGGCGGTTTGGCTCGTCCGGATAGCGGATTCCTGCGCTAATTTCAACGGCAGGCAGCTCCGAAAGCTTCCGTTTTTGGCTTATGCCACCTGTGTGAGCGCCATGCAAGAGTATAGGACCTACTACACGTCAACATCCTCGTTATCACTTTCCCAACGGCATTCGACCCCGCAGCCGATTCTTTCCCCCACCTCTGCCGTGCCTCGCGGTGGTGAGAGCTCGAGGTTTGCGCAGGGATCTCCTCGTAGCCCCAACCGAGGCCCCACGGAAGCGGCCGTCGAGGTCGAAATGAATGAAGAGCGAGGTGCCCGTGACTTTCCACCGGGTTTATCGGAATCGTTCCCTGCTCTTCCTCTGTCTGTCTTTTTGGACTTTCTTTCCAAGGCCGCGCAGAAAAACTCATGAGGCGATGCAGAAGGTTAACATTATATATATATATGAATAACATATCTTTTCTTTTACGTTATTACGTAACAAAGGTAATTAATAAGTAATTTAGCTACCATTCCTGAACAACAACCACAAAACAGCAATACGAAAGATCATGCGTCTTTATTTTTTTCATTAATATCCCAGATCTGCTATATTCTAACCCTATTCCAACACTCAGTTTGGTAATCAATTTAATCAGTGTTTCGCAGTTGTCTCAACATCATTCTATTCCCTTTATTGTTTAAAATACTATTCCCATTGCAATATATTCCACTTTTATATAACACTTTTTTCTTATTTTATTTTCTATTTTTCCATCATATATTTTCCATTGGTAAACCCAATAAAAGACATTTCACTACTAATATTTAAAAAGGTTTGACCAGGAAGAATCCATTTGTATTTTATTAAATCAAATAGGTCTCAAATAGAATGGTGCATTCAAGCGAGAAAAAGTAGTTTCTTAAGTAAACTATACCAAACAGTTTAGATCGTGGCGGGGCAGCCCTCCTTTGGATGAGCATTACCTTTCTGCAATTACGTAGATTGTTTTGTGATACCGCGCTGTGAAGTTTCCGCGAAGAGAGAGACATAACAGGACGTACAACTCCAGCCGGAGAAGGGGAAAAAGACGGGAGTGGGAACGTAGCCTCTGTGGGAATCATATTGGATAATATTGTTTCCTTTATTCCTCTTCAAATTTCGTCGTATTTGGTAAAGTGGAATGTTTGAAAAAATAAAAATAAAGTGCCTGCTTTACTGGACCGCATCCACCGCTAGTTTTTTGACTCAAACTGCGATGCTTGAGCGCAGGCTTCTGGCAATTTAATTATTCAAGTTTCAAAGTCATATGGAATTTAACACCTCATACTGTAAAATATTCAACAACACACAGTGTTCCATTCTTTGTATTTTTTAAATTTCTATTCTCTTTGCACGTGTGACGCCATATAAACGACGCTCGTAAATTCATTTATCTCTATATTTATAATAATAATAATTATTATTAGCGAATTGGTATTTGTTTAGAAATAAAAACTCATGTAAGACATCGGAGCGGAAGCTACAGTGTTTGGAATCGGTTCTTTGTTGGTGAAAAACGATCACACCACAATAGTTCACCTTTTCTTTTGACACTTTCCACCTCATTGTATATACCACGAACACAAACCACAAGGGAAATAAAAAGTAAACATCTAGACAACACCAGCAGCGTAAACAACTTCTAAAATCTCTTAACGATTGGCCCCGTTCTATATGTTGAAGAAAAAAACGAACCTTAAGGACAGTAGTTAATAGTTTATATATCATTTATACTAGTTTTTTTTCCCCCTCACGCCTAGTGCTATCCCTAACCATATACCCCCTTACATGATCCACACAAGAACCCTCCTTTTATACTTTTGTTAATCCCGGATACCGACATTTGAGGCGTGCACGCGCGATGAACGGCCGATGCCCGACGGCGGACCCGTCCAAAAACGGGCGCACCGCGCAAAGTGTCCGCTTCGCGCGGTTAATGCAGCGGCCGGAGAACCTCGAGTGTTTCGAGTGCGGCGCGAAGCGCCCGACCTGGGCAAGCACGAATTTGGGTATTTTCTTTTGCATGCACTGCGCCGGGGTCCATCGCGGGCTTGGGACCCACATCACAAAGGTCAAGTCTATTAATATGGACTCCTGGGAGGAGTCCTTGATCGACTTTGTCGAGCGCGTCGGGAACGCGCGCGGGCGGATTCTCTACGAGCACAACATGCCGGCGATCTTCAAGTCCAGCATCCACAGCTCCTCCTACGAGCTTGAGAAGCTTCTGCGGATCAAATACGAACGGAAGGACTACTTCCATCCCAACTACAAACAGCTCCTAGAG